TCCGTTAAACTAAGTTTCATAAGCAGAAAAATAAATCCTTTTCAGATAAGCAAATGCTAAAGGAATTCATTACCACCAGACCTGCCTTACAAAACGTCCTTAAAGAAACGCTAAATATGGAAAGGAAAGATCGTTACCACCCATCACGAAAACAGATTTAAGTACATAGACCATTGACACTATAACTATAAAGCTATCACAAAATTAAGTCTGCAATAATAACCAGTTAACAACACAAGGACAGGATCAAACTTGCACATATTAATATTACACTTAAATGTAACCATGCTAAATGCCCCAATCAAAAGGCACAAAGTCCCAAATTGGATAAAGATGCTAGACCCAACTGTAGGCTGTCTTCAAGAGACCCCAATTCACATGCAATGACCCCTTAAGGCTCAAAATAAAGAGATGGAGGAAAATCTTCCAAGCAAATGGAAAACAGGAAAAAGCAGGAGTTCTTATTCTAATTTCAGACAAAACAGACTTTAAAGCAGCAATGATGAAAAAAGACAAAGAAGGGCATTACACAATAGTAAAGTGTTCAATTCAGCAAGAAGACCTAACTAGCCTATATATATATGCATCAACAGAGGAGTATGCAGATTAATAAAGCAAGTTCTTAGAGACCTATGAAGAGATATAGATAACCACACATTAAAAGTGGGAGACTTCAAGGTCTCATTAATAGTATTAGACAGATCATCGAGGCAGAAAACTAACAAAGATATTCAGCACTTGAACTCAGCAGTTGGCCAGATGGACCTAACAGGCATCTACAGAACTCTCCACCCCAAAACAATAATATACATTCTTCTCATATGCACGTGTCACATACTCCAAAATCAACAAGATTAATTGGCCATAAAATTATCCTTATTGGCCGGTCGTGGTGGCTCATGCCTGTAATCCCAGCACTTCAGGAGGCCAAGGCAAATGGATCAACTGAGATAAGGAGTTCGAGACCAGCCTGGCCAACATGGTGAAATGCTGTCTCTACTTAAAATACAAAAATTAGCTGGGAGTGATGGTGGACACCTGCAATCCCAGCTACTCAGCACTCTGAGGCAGGAGAATCACTTGAGCCTGGGAGGCAGAGGTTGCAGTGAGCCAAGATCGTGTCACTACCCTCCAGCCTGGGTGACATAGTCAGACTCTGTCTCAAAAAAAAAAAAAAAAAAAAATCCTTATCAAATTTAAAAAAATCATACCAAACACACTCTCAGGCCACATTATAGTAGAACAAAAATAGAAATCAATATTCAGAAAATCGCTCAAAACTGTAAAATTACATGAAAATTAGGTGTTCTTTAATAACTCTTGAGTAAACAATGAAATTAAGGCAGAAATCAAGAAATCATTTGAAACTAATGAGAACAAAGATACAACCTATCAGAATCTCTGGGACAAAGCTAAACCAGTGTTAAGGGGGGAAGTGCTAAATGTCCACATCAAAAAGTTAGAATGACCTCAAATTAACAACCAAACATTACACCTAGAGTAACTAGAGTAACTAGAGAAACAAAAGCAAACCAACTCCAGAGCTAGCAAAAGACACAAAATAACCAAATCAGAGCTGAATTGAATAAAGTTGATTTGTACAAAAACATATAAAAGGTCAATTACTCCAAGTTGGTTCTTTGAAACAATAAATAAGATGGATAGACTGCTATGTACATTAAAAAAGAAGAGATAAGATCAAAATAAACACAATCAGAAATGACAAAAGGGACATTACTACTGACTCCACAGAAATACAAAAACAAAAACCCCTCACAGACTACTTTGGACACCTCTATGCATACAAACTAGAAAACCGAGAAGAAATGAATAAATTACTAGAGACATACAACCTCTCAAGATTGAAACAGGAAGAAATTGAATCCCTGAACAAACAAATAGTGAGCTCTGAAATTGAATGAGCAATAAAAAGCCTACAAACAAGAAGAAGCCCAAGACCAGATTGATGCACTATTGAATTTTACCAGATGTATAAAGAAAAACTGAGACCTTTCCTACAGAAACTATTCCCAAAAATAGAGGAGGAGATACTTCTCCCAACTCGTTCTATGAGTTCAGCATCATCCTGATCTAAAACCTAGCAGAGACCACAACAAGAAAAACATCAGGCCAATTTCTTTGATGAACATAGATGCAAAAATCCTCAACAAAATACTAGCAAACTGAATCCAGTAGAACATCAAAAAGCTAATCCATCATGATCAAGTAGACTTTATCTCTAGGATTCAAGGTTGGTTTAACATATATAAATAAATAAATGTGATCCATTACATAAACAGAACTAAAAACAAGACATAATCATCTTGATGGATGCAGAAAGGCTTTTCATAAAATTCAACATCCCTTCATGATAAAACCCTCAATGAACTAGTCGTTGAAGGAACATACCTCAAAATAAGAGCCATATAAGACAACCCCACAGTGAATAGCATATTGAACAGCCAAAAGCTGGAAGCATTCCCCTTGAGGACTGGATGCCCACTTGTGCCACTCTTTTTCAACATAATTCTGGAAGTCCTAGTGAGAGCAATCAGGCAGAAGAAATAAATAAAAGGTATCTTACAGGAAGAGTGGAAGTCAAATTATCTCTGTTTGCAGATGATGCTATTCTGTACTTAGAAAACCCCATAGGCTCTGCCCCAAAGCTCCCCGAACTTCAACTTCAGCAAAGTTTCAGGATACAAAATCAATGTACAAAATCAGTAGCATTTCTATACACCAAAAGCACCTAAGCTGAGAGCAAAGTCAAGTATGCAATCCCACTTACAATTACCACACACACAAAAGTACCTAGGAATAAAGTTAACCAGGGAGGTGAAAGATCTTTAAAAAGAGAATAACAAAACACTGCTCAAAGAAATCAGAGATGACTCAAACAAATGGAAAAACCATGCTCATGGATAGGAAGAATCACTGTTGTTAAAATGGCCATGCTATCCAAAGCAATTTACAGATTCAATGCTATTTTAATCAAACTACCAATGACAGTCTTCACAGTATTAGAAAAAACTATTTTAAAATTCACATGGAACCAAAATAGAGCCCAAATAGCCAAGGCAATCCCGAGGAAAAGTAACAAAGCCAGAGGCATCATGTTACCTGACTTCAAACTATGCTACATAGTATACCTGACTCCTGACTTCAAGCGGCTACAATAACCAAAATAGCATTGTACTGGTACAAAAGCAGACACAGAGACCAATATGACAGAATAAAGAGCCCAGAAACAAAGCCACACACCTATCACCATCTGGTCTTTAACAAAGTTATCAGAAACAAGCAATGGAGAAATAACCCCCTATTCAATAAATGGTGCTGATATAGCTGGCTAGCCATACACAGAAAATTGAAACTAGACCCCTTCCTTACACCACAAACTAAACTCAAGATGGATTAAAGACCTAAATGTAAAACCTAAAACTACAAAAAGTCTTGAAAAAAGCCTGGGAAATAGTAGTCTAGACATTGGCCCTGGCAAATATTTTATGATGAAGAAACCAAAAGCAATTGCAACAACAAAAAAATTAACTTATGGAACCTAACTAAATTAAGAGCTTCTGCACAGTAAAATAAACTATCAACAGAGTAAACATACAACCTATAGAATGGGAGAAAACATTTGTAAATTATGCATCCAATAAAGATCTAATATCCAGAATCTATAAGGAACTTCAACAAATGTATAAGCAAAAAACAACCCTATTAAAAAGTGGGCAAAGAACATGAACAGATACTTTTCAAAAGAAAACATACATGTGACCAACAAGCATATGAAAAAATACTCAACATCACTAATCATTAGAGAAATGCAAATCAAAACTGCAATGATATACCATCTCACACCAGTCAACAAGGTTAATATTAAAACGTCAAAATTTACAGATGCTAGCAAGGTTGTGGAGGAAAGGAAATACACACTTCTGGTGGGAATATAAATTAGTTCAGCCATCAATGGAAAGCTGTGTGGTGATTTCTCAAAGAACTTAAAATGGAATTTCTATTCAACCCAGCCATCTCATCATTGGGTATATACTCAAAGGAATAGAAACTTTTCTACTATGAAGTGACATGCACACATTTCACAGCACTATTCACAATATCTAAGATATGGAATCATCCTAAATGCTCATCAATGGTAGACTGGATAAAGAAAATGTAGTACATACACACCACGGAATGCTACACAACCATAAAAAGAACGAGAGCATGTTTTTTGCAGCAACATAGATGGAGCTGGAGGCCATTATCCTAAGTGAACTAACATAGGAAAAGAAAACCAAATACCACATGTTCTCACTTATAAGGGGGAGCTAAACTTTGAGTACACAGGGACACGTGTACTTGAGAGCAGATGGTGGGAGGAGGGAGAAGAATGAAAAACTACATATTATGTACTATGCTTATTACCTGGATGATGAAATAATCTGTACACCCAACCCCTGTGACATGCAATTTACCTGTATAACAAACCAGCAAATGTACCCCTGAGCTTTAAAGTAAAAGTTAAAAAAAATTAAGTGAATAAAGTAGTGAATTATACTTGAATATAAAAATAAAAGAAATAGGAACTTTCATACTGGGGTATTAGTGTATCTGATAAGTATTATTCTGATTTCATTATGTTAATATAACACTTTAGAGTATCTGAGGTTTTAAAAGGATGCTTTGAAAAACTTAGTAAGAAATTCTTGCCAAGGCATTTGTGTGTATGAGCAAGTGTTACACATACTATCATCTGTTACAGAAACTATGGTAAGGGAGCTTAATTTTCACCACTAGGGAACTGGGGAAATAAAGTACCCTATTGATGATACTGGGGGAACAAAGTATCGTAATGATGGTCTTGAGCCCATCAATATCCCTGGGAATACTTGGAATCCCCGCTTTTCCACGCAGAGTTCCAGAAAGCTCTGTAAGGTGGGCTTGGGCCGCAGCCTCTCCCTCCCACCTTTCTGCTCGCGATGTTGTAGCTGTAGTTCAGGCTTCTGTCACCAGGGGGCGCCATGGTACCACCGTTATCGAACTCCTCCATCAAGAAGCGTCTACAACAGAAAAGTTGTCTCTCTTGTTTGCATAAACTTTCCCAAAGGCAGCACCCTGATGTGAATAATGGTCATAGTGATGGGTACCTGGGATGGCAGTTAAGATTAAAGGAGATGAGATGTTGTAGGGAACCAGCCACCACTCCCCACCCGTGGGTGTCCCGATTTCAGTGGTGACAAAGGAATGAGAAAAAGATTAAGAATGAAAGTAGGTCCAGGGGACCATCACTTGTAATGGAAGCAAGGAAGGCCCCGGGCTTAGGTTTTCCACAACGTTTACTGAACACAATCACTTTTATCTATAGTGCAGGTGGTAGGGTGAATCGGTGAAGGGAGGCTGTGCATCAAACATAAAATTGATAGCAGTGGCAGTGGCGGTTTGTGTGAGTTTCTCAAGAACTAAAAGCATATGCTTATCAATATACAATGCAGCTGGTGGGAGCAGGTTTAGCAAGGAGCTACATGTCTGGTTACATTGGTTACATTCCAGTGCTTCAAGGGAGTGTTATGTCCTTGGGCACTATGTTTAGAATATCAGAGCTTAGGACACTCTGTTCCTGGGAACACGCTGGCAATAGAGAGGCCTTCCTCCCCAGAGGCCTCCACGGCCTTCCGCAGTTTATTGTTCCTGATTTCTTTTACACATTACTTATAACCAGTTTATGTAGGCATACTGTAAACCCTTCCTCCATTGCTGCTTCCCCCAAGATATAAAGTGCATTTGCTTACACTTAGTAAGCATTCAGCTCAGTGCATGCTACAGTGGTGTTTCACAAGATGAAACACCAGTTTATATAAAAATATTGAACGTATGTTGTAACGTAATTTCTAATGTTATTATAGAAATTTATTTCCATGAAAATATGGTAATAAAGACGTAAAGAGGGCTACAAAGACTTGAACAAGTAGTCTGGATCTATTTTTCTTTCATACAGTTTTCTGATTTTTCAGGGGTCAAAAAATAAAAATTAAAATGACCTTTTTCTTCTGATATAGAGCTCTCTTTTCAGCTAAGAGACGACGATTTCTGTTTTGAGCCCATCAATATCCTTAAGAATACTGGGATGCCCGCTTTTCCACCCAGAGTTCCGAAAGTTCTGTAAGATGAGCTTGGGCCTCAGCCCCTCCCTCCCACCTTCCTGCTCGCGATGTTCTAGCTGTAGTTCAGGCTTCTGTCACGAGAGGGCGCAACAGTACCACCATTCTCGAACTTCTCTGTCACGAAGGGTCTGCAAGGAGAAAAAATAACAATACCTCCCTTAAAACGCAGCTTATGAATCTTATTACAGAATAATTCTAATTTTTTCAGAAAAAACGTGATGATAGGTGTAAAATAAGTCTGTATCTATGTATGGCATCAACAATGAAACACTAGACAGCTCTAGCACATGTTGGCAATCATTAGCATTAATAGATCAGTGCAAGGCAGGCAGAAGATGACAGACATGGGTCTTGGGCAGCTGCCTCCATAGTGTCCTGGAGAGGGGATGAGTGAGAGGGAGTGAGTGAGAGGTCTGAGAAGCCTGTACAGGGTAGGGTAACTGAGAGTGAACACCCAGGTCTCTGGAAGGGACCCCTCTACAGTGTGGACACCTCAATGTACACTGAAGAGGGAAGAGATAAATCAATGAATTCGATGTAGATTTGGGGTGAACACCAAATAGGACTTTTTAATATGCATGTAAATTTTCCAAACAGAATTGTTATTATAATAAATATTTTCATAACATTCATTACTCTGCAAAATATACTACTGTTAATTACAAAAGAACAACGACAAAGGTGAAGATAGTTGTGATGCCTCCTGGTGGCCAGATAAATTATTGCACCTCTGGGAGTAGAGTCGGGGCAGCAGAGGGGAGGGAGGAATGGAGGGTGGGATCTAATTAATGGGATCAGGCACAGTATTCTGAAATTTTTCAATACCTGTCACAATTTGTGTGTATCCATCATTTATCTGGGTTTTTAAAAAGTATATTTTCTGGTATATATAAACCTTTTTCGTTCATTTAGAATTTTTCAACATCAATAATATTGTTACTTAAAAACTATATGGGTTATAATTAAAAAAAAAAAGTTTGACACTCTGGGATCATGTAATGGCAGACCCCAAGGAGATGAGGTCATTCACAGCACCAAAAGCATGAAGACAAGATGCGAAGAACTTTAAAATAATTCAAAATTAACTGTTGATAGGGAGATAACAAGAGTATTTTTCTGGTTTACTTAGTCAACCCTAAAGTAAGTAATCTTATATGACTAATGGTGATAATATTGGGTAATTTAAATGATACTTAGGATTACAGATGATTAAATACATTTGAAAACATCTTGAGGAGTGTATACTATCCCTTGAGGAAGATTAGAGCATTCAGAGGCCTGAAGGCATCAACTCAAAATAGAAAAACACCTTACATATTCCAAAGTGAGCTGCTGATCTGGAGAGAACAAGTTGTCTCTCTTGTTTGCATAAACTTTATGCAAACTCTCTTGTTTGCATAAACTTTATGCAAACTCTCTTGTTTGCATAAAGGCAGCAACCTGATGTGAATAATGGTCATAGTGATGGGTACCTTGGATGGCAGTTAAGATTAAAGAGGATGAGATTTAAAGTGCATTGGCTTACAAGTGCATGTTACTTTCCTTCTCTCCAGCTCATCTGTCTCAAGACCAACACCTGAGCTTCTGCCTGATCCCATTCCTCACTACTTCAAGGATCAGTGAATTCGTGTGGCTCTACACCCAGGTCTCTTGGTACAAAGCACAAAATTTCACCTCCTCTGTCTTCCTCATCACTCAGAGGGGTTGTGGAATGGGAACCTGTGGGGCACAATAGCACGGGAGTGGAATATGATCATTTCTCAAGGTCTGGACTCCCATCTAAAAGGGAGGCTGCTCAGAGCCATCTAGGGAGGGTGAGGGATGAAATCTCATTCCAATCCTGGCACTTACCTGGGCAGGTGACTTAGGCTCTGTGAGCCTGAGCTTGGTCATCTGTGAACTGGGACTAACCATACCCATCCTTACAGACCTGTCCTGAGGGGTAAACAAGAAAACCTCTTGAGAATATATTGCAAGAAGTTGAACTTCTATGATCTTTAAATGTTGGGACACAGCACTAGGGGCTGGCTTGGCCTCAGGGCTAAGGCAGGCTTTGTGAAAAATCATTTCTCATTATTTCTCCTTATAAGAAAACAGATATAGTTGAAGAAAGCAAATGTTTCTGTGATATGCCTTGAGCTCAAAGTTTTGTAGACAGTAGTTTCTCTACTTCTTGGGTGTTATCAGAAGCTTATAGGAGCTGTTCAACATCATTGCCCTGAGCTGACCCAAATCTAATTTCCCTTGCCTAGAATATAGGCATGTCTTTGACCTCACCTGGTGATCTCAGTGACAGACGGCAAGGTAAGCAAAGTGTGATGTCTGCCTAATGACTGCTTCTGGAGTGCTTAGTATTTTAATGTATGTATAGGAAAATTCTGGACCCATTCTGCAGTCATCAGTGCAGGAGTCCTCAGGTCATGTATTATACAGCCACATCAAACCAGGATTTCAGCCACCTGCTGTCTTCTGGAGAGGCACAAATCCAATAGTTAGCAGCATTTTTGGACACATAATTGTTTATTCTTTTGTTAGCTAATAACTAAATGTTTATTGAGCTCAGATTTCATGCTATCCCAGTGGAGGCATCTCATTAGATCTAAAGTGGAAATGAGAGGGTAGGAAAGGATGTGAATATATGGGCAGCTTCAAATATTAAATTTGAGATCAGATGGCTCCTTCCCATAATTTTTTCTTTTGAATTTTTCTAGCAGAACATTAATGTTTTAACTTGATCAAGCTTCAAGTAATTTAAGATTTTCAAATGTCATTCGTTGGACTTACCAGCATCCATTGCAGCCACATGATGGAGATATCTCTTCTATCTGTCTCTATTGCTTCCTTTCTTCCTGTCTCTGTCTCCTCCTCTTTCTTGGTTTATTTCTTTTTCTTTACATTCCAAGTTCCATGAAGAGTTTTCTATATTCCCTGTTAATTTAGTATTCTCCACTTTCCACTGACTACACTGCACTATGGCCTCTGTCCACAAGTAACACATGTGAATTCAAACACCTCTCAAGTGCCTTTCTTGTGCAATTAAAAAAAAATAAATGGAATGGAAAAGTATACTCAGGTCAAACTACTGTCACACAAAATTAGATCAGATTCTAAATGAGATGCATCCCTAAAACAATCAAGGGATTTGAATAGTGATTTGGACATACGAAAACTAACTGCATGGAATCACTGTCTTTTTTCATCAGCTTGGCCCAGATTAGGTTCCAGCGGTACAAGGTAATCCCACATGAGTTACAGTTTGAGTTAAATAAAGTAGTCTGGACAAGCAGAAGGTGTTTCATGAAGGAATACACTAGGTCATTGTTTTAGGCTAGTTCACTCCAGGGAAACTCTAGGTGTTTGAATACATCAGGCAAAAAAGGGGACTTGAAAATTATATCTGCAGGTTTTATTAATGCTCCCCACAGCATATAAACTGAGGAAATGAGCCTGTCTGTTTCAGCAATTTGGAAAGAGAGTATACATGACCTGTAGGCATATATGGCAAATCCCACTGTTGAAATCTGAACATGTATTTGTTCTCCTTATGTTTCTTCTTTCCTCTTGTTCCATGAGGTAGTCGTGCATTTAGAGATGAAACTGTAAATTTAAAGTAAAATCCTAAGCCCTGCAACTGACTGAACAAATATCCTCATGGTCAGGAGGACCCAGAAAAACCTTAAAACGGAGTTCCTGGGCATAGCAGGAAGTGAGGTCAGACACAACTTGCTATACTTCCTCTCTTTTGTGGTTTAGATACCACTGACCAGCATTAATATTAAAACAGAGATCAGAAGACTGACAGAACAGACTCTTTGTGACAATAAGATATCAAATGATAAATAAGACCTAAGGCCATGCCAGGCAAGGGTTAAGTCACAGACTCTACACTTAAAGAATCAACTGTGTTCTAACTGACACAAGATTTCCTTTTCATTTTTCTGCAACAGTTAAACAAGCACTGGCCTCAAGACAAGCAATATTAAAACAATTTGCAGCTTATCTACCACTAGATGCTGATTCCCAGTCCCTGTTCCACCAACAATAACTACAGTTTAGATTAGACAAGAGACTGATTTCAATAACTTTCTCCCGATTAGAAGAAAATCACCAACCATGGACTGGTTCTGGCCAGTTTACAGAGGCCAGAACTTGAGTGCCTTTGTGTTCTGAAAAGTTCTTTTGATGTGTAGGGCCTAATTTTTATACATTTAAATGTGAAGTCTCCATTCCAAGGTGAACCTGGTCCATATGTATAATAACATACATGTTTGTTCAGTATCCATATATCAGGACCCCTTCATGAATATTCATAGCTCTTCCTACAACGTGTTGACCATGGATCTTTGTCCAACCCCTTCAGCTTAAATTCCTGTCTTACCTCTCACTCCCTCAAAGTGCCTGCCTCTGGGCTTCTTCCAGTGGCTACACTTCACAGCCTGTCAGAATGGTCACCCTGCAGGCTGTAACCTTTTATAAGAAATAAAGCTATCCTTTTTAAAATTTATAAATTGTTGATATTTCAGTTAACAAAGTCATGCTGTTAAAAATACCATATTTTGCGTGTAGATCTATACAAATGTAATAAAAATATAGAGAAATGTCATAAAAATGTAAAACGTAAATTCCGCATAGTAGTTACCTGTGAGGAAGAAGGAAACTAATGTAATTAGAGAATACTTCAAAGTGAGTTTTAATTGCAAGTGATGTTTTATGTTAACATAGAAGGTTCTTATATTGCATAATTTTGAGTATTTCTGAAATATTTAATAAAAACTACTGTTTCTATGGATATTTGACTCTGAATTGAAAAGAGATCCATAGTAATTTGAAATTTTAGGAAACATAATGAAGTCCAGAGATAAATTAATCAACAACCCCATGGCTGATGAATGTTTTAAAATGTATCATTTTTGTGCATTACATCCCATTTGATTCTCTATGCAGACATATTTAGTGTATATGCTAAAGATCATTAAACTAGCTATTAATTTTGCCCAAATATTCTATTCATTCTATCTGACTCCAAAGCCACACCTCCCCACTATTGTGAAATAAAATATTTTCCTGTGAAAAGGTTGATGCCAGCACAGAAGTGACTCCCATGGTATTGTACATAAGGACAGATCTGGTATTTGGGGTCCAGGTCTCCTGATATTATCTGTTTCCCAGCAGACCCATCTTCATGGTCTGTCATTCTGTGTCGCCTCCTTTCTGGGCTGAATGAGAGGCTGCAATTCCAATGTTCAAATAGAAGGTAAACGAAGATGGTAAAAAAGGACATCAAATAAAAAGTAGTGAGGAAATTATTTTCTTTTTCCTCCACTCCATGCATCAGGTAACTTCTACAAAGACAAGACAGAAAAGCTTTTCTATAATAGAAATATATAAACATTTTATTTCCTCCTGCTTCGACTGTAATTGACCTCTAGGAGATGTTCCATGTCCTTTGTGGAAGACAAGACACAGGGAAAGCCAATACATGTATTTGTTGCAGCATGACATGTTAGACGCTTCACATAGGTTTAACCATTGTACATTTCTTCCCACAACGCTCAACGAGGTATGTATCAATATGCCCATGTTACAGATGCCCCAGATTAGGTAACTCACTATTGCACTATGATCAGATCATATACCTAAGCAGAAGCAGGAATAAGATCTACCAAATATATATATATGTGTATACATACATAAGTATATATATAGATAAATACACTCATTTATATATAATATATATTGTATATATTATATAATACACAAAACAGGCCCACTTACATGTATTATTTAGCAAATAGAGATGAATATTTTCATCCAGTATAATAGGCTAGGGCATAAATCTGTGTTATTTTAGTTCTTCAGTTGTTATAATTTCAGATGTCTTTTTTTTTTTTTTTTCTTTTCTGAGTCAGAGTCCTGCTCTGTTGCCCAGGCTAGAGTGCAGTATCACGATCTCAGCTCACTGCAACCTCTGCCTCTTGGGATCAAGTGATTCTGCCTCAGTCTCCCAACTAGCTGGGATCACAGGCAGCTGCCACTCCCTCTGGCTAATTTTGTATTGTTAGTAGAGATGGGGTTTCACCATCATGGACAGGCTGATCTCAAACTTCTGACCTCATGATTCACCTGCCTCGGCTTCCCAAAGTGCTGGGATTGCAAGCGTGAGCCACCACACCCAGCCAATTTCCAATGTCTTTAAAAGTTTAAAATTACTTTTATCAAAAATAATTAACAATTGAAAGAGCCCAGAAACATCTATAAGGAATAAAGAACAACAGTAAAAGCACTATTGCAGTTAAATAGAATAGATTTCCATATTCCTTTTGAGACAGCCAAATTCTGTTTGATGGTTGAAGTAGGAAGTACAAGATCTGATTGGTTCTTAGTATATGTAGAATAAATCTTGAAGACTATACTATAAATGGCAGATATTAATAGGACTTTATTGACCATGCCATTGACAGAGCTGGGCACTCAGGTACTCACCACTGTTCAGGGAACATATCACCCATGAATGTATGAATTGATAAATTAGTGAGATATCCTAGCATGGGTTACATATTGTCCTTATATTCTAAATAGACAGGATCTGAACATCACCTCATGGGGCAGTAGGTTACTTTGACCTCAAATGACATTTTTTCTTCTCTTAAAAAATATCTCCCTTTGAATGCAGTGTTTTCCAGATGTTACAAACTGTGCTAACACCACCAATCGAATTTTGTCAGATCCACTTCCTGGTTATTAAATGCGTCCATCCCCCAAGTCAAAGGACTCAGGGCAGCCCAGGAATCATCTGCATCTTCTTTACTCTCTACCTTGAGAAAGTTGGCAGAGAGATGAATTTAGAGAGAAATGAAAAGGGCATTGTGGTTCCGCCTAGTAAATCACTGAAGGCATCCAACAAGGATAAAGTGACAGGGCCAATTTTGCATGTGGGAACATGTGCAGATACCATGGCTAAAATCCAGAAATAAACCATCACATCCCAAGAGGAAATCCTGTGCAGATATTCTACAGAACACAGTTGAAAAGGTCATGTAACGTGGACAACAGGAAA